CCCCCCCCGCCTTTTTAACTGCCAGATACCAACAATTCAACAACAAACAAAAACGTCTATGAATCCAACATTTTATCCTTTATCCAAACCTCCCAAATCTGCTTTCTTTTGAGACGTGAACATAATATATTAATATGGGGGAGGGATGTTGAGGTAAAACTTCACGTCGATCTAGGCCTAAGTTTTGGTCGATGATAGACTTAAAAGTGTAATCAGACGTGATCAAGGCAAAACTGTAACAAGAAAACCAATTGTAACTCCAATACATGGATTGCTTCCATTGACACACGGTTGTTGTTTTTTTGGGTGATGTTGCGAGTCAAAGATAGTACATAACTATCTTTGTGCGAGTCACAGACTTCTACACTAAGTGTAGAATTCTGTGGTGCGAGTGTACGAGTAGTGTCCCCTGTCTTGATTCTCTTGACCGGAAGCTATGAAAACAAACAGTTTGCGAGGTCTCTGCTAAACTGTCCAGAGATGATTAACTTTCTTGCTTGTTTGGCGATTTGTGTAGATTTTTACAAAGACCGATAAGCATAGATCTACTCGGCTATTGTTGGATTCACAATAGGCTAGGCTAGAAACTGCCGATACCACAGTCGGCCGACAGCGGCCATGCAAAGTCGAGACCCTTTGACCTTTGGTTGGCGCTGGCGGCAAACTATTCATCTTCGGGAATTCCCGATCGTACATTTTCTCAGGCCGCCCGCCCACACCGAAATTCTTCGACTGCTGAGCAAAGAAAATGAATGAAGGAAGAAAGAAATGAATGAATGTGACCGTTGACGTGGCAGTTGGCTGCTAGCCAGGTGAGGCGCATGGTTTTGCTGTTGGTGCAGAAGTGTTCGTTCGTTCAGTGTTTGCTCATGCTTGTTTTAAGGCCAATTGAATAGATCTGGACTCTAGATCTAGAAATCTAGTAATAGTATCTCTACAATTTGCGTAACTTATATAACATTAACGGCGCCGATGCAATATTAGGCCTAGGCTAACCGTTGCAGTGCAGTCTTCCTTGCGCGCATGCTGCACGTAGCCTACGCCACATGGACATAGATCTAGCCTAGGTTGCAAAATGTAGACCAAGAAGCTCTCAATAGCAGCAATTTTTCCTAGCCACCAAGACTGTAATGTTTTGTTAAATGTTACATTTTTTAAAGGCCGGCTCTATTTCTCCGAACGCTCGCGAAAATAAACTTGAACTCTATTTCTCCGAACGGTTTCCGTTCTCGAGATTTGTTGATAATTTGCGAATGGAGTGGCCCACCCGCAAGTGTGTGCGTGTGTATGTGTGAGTGAGTGTGCATATATATATATATATGCGTGTGTGTGTGTGTGTGTATGCATATGTTATAAGGTGTGAACGGGGCGGTGGAGGGGTGGTGCGTGGAGGGATTTTATTTTTGTTTACATAAAGGATTTTAGTGTTTGCCTTAGGGGTGACTTCTCACAGTACCTTTTGAAGGCATATATTCAAATGAAGTATAGATCTAGTCCGGGAACGTTGAACAACCACAACTGAATCTGATATTCAGACATTTAAAAATCTCTAGATCTAGCTCTAGAAATTGAATTCGATGCAAAAAATGCTGCTTCCCAGTGCTCACAGTCACAGGATTGCAGAGTGTAAGAGGACGCCTAAATCTCGCAAATAACCAAGATGCTCCTTCTTTCCTATAAAATATCTGTCGTCCTTATTTCCCCTCCTTCTTAATTGTGTTTGTTACTCTCTTGTAACACCTCTAATTTTCGGCACTTATTTAATGACCTTATTGTGTTGCAAGTGCGGTAATACTCTTACTAAAACTTTAAAAAAACTGAAGTAGCCCTATACTATAGTAAATAGATATCAATTCCCTTTGAGGGTGCAAAACATTGGTGGGAAATGTTCCTTGAAGATGGGGAAAAAAAGATCAGATGTGATCATAAACTAACTGTCCCCGTGACTTTATGTACCCCACATAATTTAGCAAAATTTTATCATTTTTTGCATAATTTCTGATTATTTTCCTTTATCATTCTTTGTTAAAATTAACAGAAATGCATAATTTCACATTTTTGGGCTCCGTTTGAATAATTTCTGATTTTTTTTTGCATAAAACGGCAGGGACAGAACTACATAAACTTTCACTGTTGGGGTATGAAAAGGACAACAAGCTCATTTCAGGAGGTGCTGGTTTGTTTTGACAGCCCTGATGCTTCACAAAACAAAGGGATGAATTGAATGTGGAAAATTTATATATATCATAATTATTGCACGACAGACTTTGCTTTTGAAGAAAGTTATTCTTAAAAATCTACTCCAAACTTGTTTTCTGGGGGCTCTCGTGGCCTAGAGATTAAGGTGTTGGCCTCTCATTCAAAGGTCCCGGGTTCGATTCCGGGTAGTGACCAAAAAATTTTCCTCTCTAAAATTGTCTCCTTTCACCTCCTTTCCTGCTCTCTAACAATGTTCTGTTGTCTGCTTTCATTTCCACTTTCTGCCCCCCCCCCCTCACCTCCTTTGCCCCCTCCTCTGGCCTCCTGACTCTTTCTGCAGCCTTTCTACTTCTACTCCTTGGCTCCTCCTTACTGCTGTCTTTCTGCCACACCCCTGATCTTCAGGTAGGAAAGATCTACACTTAGCCTTCTCGGACAAGGGCGAAAAATATCGGAGGGCCCATGTGCTAGTTGCGCACGTTAAAGATCCCTTGGTGGTCTAAAATCGATAAGAGTAGGCTTCGGCCGCCACCCGGGCAAAATTCAAAATTCCCTACCAACTGAAAATATTAGGTGTGTCCGGCGCGCTCATATGACCTTATGCAGTTGCGAGCGCCGTAAAACACTTTACAAGAACAAACAAAACAAACCCGTTTTCTTTCTTCACAGAATTCATCATCATGATGGACCCCCAGAGACTTATGGTGACCCCTGACCCCGCAATGACCCCTAACACCGCGATGACCCCTGTTCCCACTGTAGACTCTGACCTCAAGATGACCCTCGACCTTTCTCTAGCCTCTGATCTTGTGATGACCCCTGACTCCACTGTAGCCTCTGTCCTTGCTGTAAACCCTAACTCCAGGATAATCCCTGATCCTGCTGTGAACTCTGACCCCTCGATGAACCCTGACCCCGCACAGGAGGCGTCTCTTGCTGCTGAGGACTGGGCAAGACAGTTTCAAGGTATAAATTTGTTTCATGACACAGTGGAATCAGGCGTTCGTCAATTTTTGGGCATGTCGAGTTATTGATATCATTGTAAAGCTTGTTCATTGTCTTGCCTTTGATGAAAAGAATAATCATGTACAATGTATTTGGAACAGAAGTTGTAATATTTGTGATTGAAAAAATGTGCGTCAAAGTTTGGTGGTTTCCAAAGCTAAACTGTCCTTCGGAACTGAATTTTGTGTCTTTTGTATCAATGTTTTTTGGTAAAATTCACTCTATAATAAAATGTTTTTAAATGGACAGGAAAGGTCTTGATGAAAAACAAAACAAACAACTAATCAATGAAAATTGCTCAATGGGTGAACAAAAATGTCAATTTCTTCTTTTTTCATTATTTTGACCAAAGCATCATCTCACCAGAATGTCACACAGTTGTAAGTCAGAGAGAGATAAGAAGACATGTTATTTTTGTTCTTTGTGGGATGGAAATTGAAAAACACTTATTTTTATGATGGTGTGGATAAATACAGCCTAGCGAAACATGCACATAGCGAATGTTTTCAGGTCCCGACTTCGTGTATTAATAAAACAATAACTTGTATTTGAATGATTGTATTTTTTATGTATTGTACTGAACTCTGTTATCAGGCCCACTTTGAAAATAAGCTTGATGCCCCCTGAGCTAAACTAACCTGGCAAAATCCATGCTGCAAAACTGAAAAATCCCTGTCCTTTTTCCTATCATCTTGACCATAGTCAGCATGGTATGAACTGAAATTTTTGGTTGCCAAATTTATCTTACATAACTTTTACAAATTTGGAAATCTTTATTTTATTAGATTTGAATCTGTGTCTGTAGGTTCTAATTTAAAAAATGTTGAATGTTGTGGTCGTTGTGTTGTCCTACAATTCTCTTCAACTGTGGGACTACAGTCCTTAGAAGGTTCCTTCTGTCCTATCAAACACCTTATCTCTCCTTTTATCTGTAGGTTACTCTCTAGTAACACCTCTAATCTTCAGCACTTATACGACTCATGATTTGTGTTGAAAGGTACCGTAAATCTCATTCTAAAAGCAAGCTCAGAAGGTTCTAAATCTCTCCCACTCCTCTTTTCAGGAGATTATGAGATGGAGGTGTGCCAAGAAGACTCCCAGATGGAGAGTTACTATTACTATCAAAAATGCCTCAAGAATCGCGGGCATCATAATTTTGTTCCGGTGAAATCTCTGAAGCTCAGTCATCTGCCCGAGGTGTGGAGATATCGCAAAAACCTCAAGTGGGTCAAGCAAATGGCGAGACAGACGGTGCTGGTGCGGGTGAACTACACAAGCCCCGACAGGCCGGAGGGATATCCGTTTGCCAAGTACAACGGGAAGTGTGTCGTCCGCACTGGCACGGGGTTTGCAGGACGGTCCCAGCCGTGGGTCGTGAAACCCTGCCCGTTCGCTGACTGCAAGCACGGCTCAGACCCGCACGATGTGTTGACGTTTGTCGTGAAGACGGCGGCTCACGTGGTGTACGACACGAGCGAGGCGGAGCACACGGAAGTGGATTTCTTCTATGACGATGACGGCGCCAAGGACCCCAGCAGCCAGAAATCTCCGGAACAGGAAGCTGTTGTCACAGCTCGTGGTATCAGGAGAGTGAAAGTTGATGTATCCGGGGACTTGTGTCGCATCGAATGTGCCGCCCACGATATGGATCTGTTTAAGAAACTGCGTGGAGAAAAGTCTGTGTTCCACCAGCTGAAAAAAGGCACAAGTTTAAGTTTTATCATATCGCACCCTCATGGGTGGGAGAAGCAGGTCTCGTTTGGCAAAGTGGTAGATGTCAAGTATCTGGACTCGGTGACAGTCCAGACGCCTGTACCCCAGTGGACGAAAATCACTCGCCATTGTCTGCTGTATTACAATATCCCGACGTGTCGAGGAAGCTCCGGCGCCAACGTCTTCGACTGGCGGCGCGACGAGCAAGGTCGTCACTCCCAGCACCAGGCTCTGCACAGTAAAGGGGGCTCTCAGGGTCCAGGGTCTTGCAATGCCAGCTGTAAAGGCGTTTGTATAGAGGAGGTGAGTTGAGGCAGTCACAGAATGAAACCTTTGATGCTAAGGCATATCTGTTTGAATCAGTGAAAGAGTTATTTAAAAGAGGTGACTTCTTTGACTGCATTTATTAAGTTTGGTCATAAAACACATTTATTTAAGTTTTGTTTTACTATTTTTCTTCCAACACCAAGTGTAATCAGTAACCACACTGATTGTTATTTTGTATAATATGTGTTATTTGTTAGATTACGTACGAGTGTATATTATGTATTTAAAAGAATTTTTGTACTTTGATTTGTATGTTGAATGTGCCAGTATGCATGAGACTTTGAATTAAATCTTATATTTTATTGTGAGGCACCTAGAGCCATCAGGGAGTGGGTGCTATAGGCTTGATCTGTATGTTATTATTATCAGAAAAAGGAATACTTTAGTTTAGTTTACTTTAAGCTACAAAGGTGTCCATGTGTGAAAAAGTTACGTTGATCCATTGAAATGGTAAACTTGGGCATTATGATTTGTAGTACGAAGTTTTTCTCCTCATTTGGAAATGAGTCGTGTTTGAATGAGATGAAATTGAAGGCAAGTGAGGCAGGGGTAGACCCAGAGGAACTTGATAGAAAAGCCTAAACAGATGGATGACGGGTGGAAAAAATCAGAATCTTCTTCCTCTTTGCGTTCTCGTGCTAGATCTCAGGGGTAGTCGACTGCTGGCTCTTCAACCTGCAGTGCAGCTGATTTTTACATATATATATGTGATTTCTGGCATTGACCAGATGACAAGGACATGTGGTTACTTGAGGGAGGCATTGCGCTGCCAAGAGCGAAATGCTCGCAGCTAAAGGGATTTGAAAACAAACAACAACCTATGTGTGACTGTTTTACCTACTTGGTAGGACCGTGCCATCTGACAGCCACTTTCTGAATTTGAAGCTACTCTCCATGTTTTTATGCTAACTAATATAGAGTGTTTTAGACTTTGGAGAGATCCGAAGGAAATATTATAAATGCAAGAAATTGCAAGACATTTTTTACGTCGTTGTTCCCAGTAGAATTTTGAATTTTGTGAAGGCCATTGGCCTTTATGGCAAATAGTAAAGTGAAACAATATCGTTAAAAATTTTTATTGTTATTTATAAGAGTTGTTTTGAATCGCAAACATATATTTACACTGAATTTTAGTATGTTAGCATTTTAAAGTCTAATTGTTGACAAACCGTGCAGTGAACTGTTGCGAATGTTACCAACTTGTGTTTCGCGCGCTCATATGACCTTATGCAGTTGCGAGCGCCATAAAACCCTGTACTACTACTACTACTACTACGGTTTTGATAGAAGGTCAGGATAATATTAGAGCTTTTTTTGAGAGCATCCAAGGAAGAGAATGAATGGTGAACAGTGATCACCGATGTCTGTGGCAGATCTAGCACGTGATGAGGACGACAGTTGAAATGGTTGAAAGTGAAAGGAAGATTTGATTGTAGGTACGTCACGTCCAAAAATAGTAAAGTTTTAGTTTGTTTGACTATGTTTGTCTACTCTTACTTCTACTACCTGTCCCCGTGGTTTTATGCACCCCGCATAATTTAGCAAAATTTGATCATTTTTTGCATAATTTCTGATTATTTTCCTTTATCATTCTTTGATAAAATTTAAATAATCACATAATGTCACATTTTTGGGCTCAATTTGCATAATTTCAGAATTTTTCTTGCATAAAACGACGGGGACAGTACTACAACCCCAGTCATCCTTGGTAAGGCAGTTCGACTAGCTAGCAAAAGACCTAAGCCAACAGAATGATTCTCTCAAGAATTTCCATCTCTCTGTCCAGATGTATTCCAACTGTCTAGGCTAGCCCGAATATACAGGTTCAAAGCTTCGCTAGAACTTCAGTGTTATGCCAGGTCAGTGGGAAAAATTTGTTACCGGCGTTTTTGTGCTTAAACAGTTATAAAAAATAACGGTAAGCCTACCGATAGTCTCCGTTTTATTTTAAGAACAATGTGTTTTGTTGAGTAGGAGAATAACACTCCATTGTATATTGTGTCTATTATTGTAATTATTATTTACAAAATTATCTGACCTTTGACCTCGCTCACACTATGTACCGTACTCCCTTTGAACCAAAGATATATATATATATATATCTATGTATATATCTATATATATATGTATCATTTTAGAAGACACTATATTACAGTGTACCCTCCCATCGCCTACTGCTGATGAGTTTTTCTATTTCTTGTCTCCTTGTTTTGTGCTCTTTCTCACTCATTCTTAGTTTTATGTACACCATGGTTATTTTGGTCTGCTGTAGTTTCTGTAATGTTCCATAGAGGTGACGTCAGGGATGTCAATGGATGGTATGTCACAGGATAGGTATATCATAGCTGCCACTTTTCCGCTAAATAGCGGAAACTCCGCTTCATCTAGCTTTTCCCGCTACTTTCCACCTTCCTCCGCGGGACCGCTCTCGGTCGCAAATTGCGATACTTTTTTACACGCGGAAAACACCGAACCGGGAGAGAGACGAAAACGCAGCTTGCGCATGTCCGCCCGTAGCTTTCTACTTCCGTTCTTCTAGGCCCAGCGCTAGTTTCACTTTGTTTATTGTGGAGCAACACAGTGTCGATCGGGCATCGGGACGTTAGCGCGCCGAGTTGTCATTGAAAACGGCGGAAATTCGAGAGAAGTTGATGCAGAATGCAAAAATAATTATAAGGAGCTCCGCTTGCTGCACTTTGCGTTTGGTGCGATAAAGAAATCGCGGCCCGCGGCACTCCTGTACAATTGCGGTCCCGTTTGTTTACATGACGGCTATTGTGGCTGTTGAAGTGAATCTAGATCTAGATATAATCTAGATTTACACATATTTAGATATCTAGATCTAGATTAGATAGCCTAGGCTGTAATTTTAATTCAGGTTAGATCTACACTCTACAGAGGGACTACTAAGTTAAGTGCAAACGGGACTGCAGTTGTACAGGAGTGCTCAGTACAGCGGCAAAAGTGTTGCCTCTTTGATCCAATACTGCGCGCGCTCTACATCGATGTACAAGTTTAAAGAGAAAGAAATCTTTTTATAAGACACCAGCTTGCAACAAACTCTGGATTTTTAGTCACCAAGTCCAAACTGTGTCAAATTGACTCAAATGCTTGTTAGTCTACTTAGCGCCTTTGTTGGTTTTTTTTTTTTTTCAAATACATTTTAATTCAGTTGCCTATGGTTAACAAATATGACAGTTTTCCCTTCCAAAACCATAGGCTACATTTTCCAGTATATATATTGCCTCTGGATCTCACTGGTTTTACTCCAGCCTTCGGAGAGCGTGCGTTCGCATGAATTTCCTCCTTTTTTGAAATTCCTGAGTGGCAGCTATGATATATATGTAGATCTGCCAACTACTTCGGGGTCAAAAATAGTTTTTTCAGATTCCTCCCTAAAATGAGTTTCAAGAAGGAAAAAACTTGTCCCCAGAATCCAGTAGATTTCAGATTACGCTATGAACAAACCATGGCAAATCATCGTGTGTATCGCAAATAAACACAAATAAAAATGCGTGTTTTCACGTCATTTACAAAGTCTTGCAAAATAATATTCAATGATGTATTAAAATTGTGCTTTCATGTCACTTTTTATAAGTTGTGTACGACTGATGGAAACCGAAGACTGATGGAAACCGAATTCAAGAACAGAAATTGGATTTTATGCAAATCCGATCTGGGTTCTTCGACTTCGATGGGCACAAAAAAATAGGAGGGCTCGATTTAATCGTAGTAGTTGGCAAGTCTGGATATGTCCTTAACCTTCCTGTAGGCCTACTGTAACTTTAACTGTAAGCCTGTATTTGTTGGTTCCGTCACCCGGTCGCATCATCTTTGCCAGACCGTAGCTCACTGTCGTCTGTACGGGCATCTATGTAGGCTAGTACTTGACTTATACTTTTTTTCAAACTGACCGAAAATCTTACGGTTGGTGGGTTGCAGGCCTTTTGTTTGATAAAGTTCTCCTTTACTTTAAGAGGGGGTGCTGCAGGGTTGGGTTGATTTAAATCAGTTGATTTTTTAAATTTAAATCAACTTGATTTTTAAAATAAAAATCAGTGATTTAAATCACTTTAAAATTATTTTTTTTTAATTCAGTTTTTACACATTTTAACATTCAGAATTCCTTTCCTTAGTTTCATAAAACAGATAAGGTTTAGTAGACTAATATAATCATGCTTAAAAGTCTGCTTTCCCCCCCTTTCACTGTAAAATAATACAGTATTCAATTTACTTTTTTTTCCATAAATGAAATCAGAGCTGGGTTTGATTTTTTTATTTTAATCAACTTGATTTTTAAAATAAAAATCAGTGATTTAAATCACTTTTCAAAAAAATGTATTCCGTTTTTACATATATTTGAACATTCAGAATTCCTTTCCTTGGTTTTACTGAACAGAGATAAGGTTTAGTAGACTAATATAATCATGTCTAAAAGTCTGCTTTCCCCCCTGTCACTGTAAAATAATATAGTTCTCAATTTATTTATTTTTTTCATAATTGAAAACCAGGGTTGGGTTGATTTAAATCAGTTGATTAAAAAAATTTAAATCAACTTGATTTTAAAAATAAAACTCAGTGATTTAAATCACTTTAAAAAAATGTATTGTTTTTACATCTTTAAACATTCAGAATTCCTTTCCTTGGTTTTATAAAACAGATATAAGGTTTAGTAGACTAAAATAATCATGTTTAAAAGTCTGCTTTCCCCCCTGTCACTGTAAGTAGTGAAATAATACTGTACATATTTTACTTTTTTTTCATAATTGAAATTAGCATTTTCTTCTTTTTAGACAAACACAAGCGCGTGCACACACACACACACTGTAATAAAATGCAAGTTTATCTATGCATAATTACCCCCCCCCCCCCCCTTCCTTTTAGACTGACATTTTCTTCATTTTTTGTCTCTAGCCATTTGGCTTTCTAAAATTGCAGTTGCTTAAATTAATCATTAGTTAAAATAAAGACAATACATTTTGCACTAAAAGAACATACTTTTAGCCAACAAAAATCCCAAACTGTCGACATTAAAAAAAAAAAAAAAAAAATCCGATTTAAATTTAAAAAATCTGATTTAAATTTTTAAAATCGATTTTTTAAAATTTTTATTTAAAAAATCAAAACAATTACCAACCCTGGGGTGCTGTAGCATTTATAAGTCGATCCCTGCTAATATCACTCCTATGGAGCTTATATTTGGTGTGGACGATTATATGGCAATGGAGATTTGTTAGCAGTTGTCAATTTTTAAAAACTGATTTGGTTACCATGGAAACGGCGGCCATGTTGGATTTTAGAGAGACATAATGTGGCACAACTTTCTCACCTTATTTATTTACAGATTAGGTTCATACGTAGCATGCACACTTATAAGACAAAGACCAAATTTTCTGGAAGAGGAATTTTTTTTATATATATCTACTTTAGTTTCTATTTTATAGCACTTTCAAATCCGGCTCTATCTAGCGAAAAAGTGGAAAAATCTAGCTTTAAAAGCTCACAGATTAAGATCCAACGGATTTATCAGTAATTCCTTTTACAAAAAGCTAGATTTGTACGGTTACAACATTCTGTGAAAGTTTTTGAAATCGAGCAGAAAAATAGTACAGTACTGACAGTACCAACCGTGAAAAAATAGAATGTTTTTTTTTGTGGACAAAATCGTCAAATATTTTCTCAAAAAGACTTGACCCTACGTTCTAAAATTCCCCAAACATCACTGTAGGGTGCAGGGAGGCGTGTGTACTTTCTAGATATTGTTCAGGACATGTCCAGGAATTTGAAAGTGTAATTATCTCATTTTGTGTAATTTGGCCCCAAACCGGTTCCTCTAGCTGCAGCACCACCCCTTAAAAACTTCGTTAAAAACTGTGTCCCATCATAAAAATAATATCAAATTTGGAACCAGCAGCATATCAAAACAGACACAATGGCTTGCGGATGACTCTTTTTCGTGCTGAATCTTGAAGAGCACAAATGAATTTTATTAAAAAGGAAATTTTAACCACTATTTCATTCATATTTTATTATCACAAAGAGGATGGACGACTGCCAGTGTCAGTTTTAACTGAGCCTGTCACAGAAACACCTCCCTTTTCTCCCAATCGTTCAGGAGCCATTGACCCCGTTGAGAGGACCTACTTTTGACCCCCACCCCCTTTAAAAAAAGGGAGAAAAAAAATTTCCTTGCATAAAATGACCCTTGTTCTCTTTCAAATTTATCACTCTCTTTGTTATAAAATTACCTGTAGGCTACACACATATATAATATATATATATATATATATATCTCTCTCTATATATATATATGTATACATATATATATATATATTATATATATATATTTATATATATATATATATACATACATATATACATACATATATACATACATATATACATACATATAACGCAAGAAAGACAGGCATGAGGTGAGGGAGGAGATGGAGAAAGGTTTGAAGAAATAAAGAGACATGAATCAAAATTGCGTCATATTTTTTATTTTTCTGTACTGTACGTGAAGCCCAGCACAAAACCTGGTCGGACTTTGTCTCGACTCGGACTTTGTCTCAACTGTTCAGCGCCTGCCCAGCTCCCTCTAATCACAGATGAAGGGTTACAACAGTCACAGTAAAGTTCCCATCCTATTCCACTGTAGGCCCCGACCATGTTTTGACAGGATGTTGTTACGTTCAACAATACAGGGAGCTGAACTTAGCCTCAAATTAAAATTTTCTGTGCAACGCAATGAGCGGACACATTTACAACCCCCCCCCCAACTCCATTATTTTTACATCTTATTCACTTTGTCAAAAGCCTTCATCAGCAAAAAAATGTGGTTTTCTTACCCAACATATTGTTCCTTCGAAATATTTACTCCTTGTACAACCAAAGTCTAAGAAGGCCCGACTCCCAAAGGATTCGAACCAGGGTAACTTGTACCACAGTCCAGCTGAACAACAACAGAATGGATAATGCCCACAGACCAACACAGCCATACAATACCACAAGTATATATTATATTATATATTATAATAAACAACACGCATCAGAGCACCAGTCACCAGGGTTGAGTTGATTTAAATCAGTTGATTTTTTCTTTTAAATCAACTTGATTTTTTAAAGAAAAATCAGCGATTTAAATTTAAATCACTTTAAAAAAAAATTATTTTTATTCAGTTTTTACATTATATTTCAACATTCAGAATTCCTTTCCTTGGTTTCATAAAACAGATATAAGGTTTAGTAGACTAATATAATCATGCTTAAAAGTCTGCTTTCCCCCCTGTCAATGTAAAATAATACAGTATTAATTCACTTTTTTTTTTCATAAAATTGAAATCAGGGTTGGGTTGATTAAAATTTTTTAAAAATCAACTTGACTTTAAAAATAAAACTCATTGATTTAAATCACTTTAAAAAAATGTATTCTGTTTTTACACCTTTAAACATTCAGGGTTTCTTTCCTTGGTTTTATAAATAAGGTTTAGTAGACTAATAAAATCATGCTTAAAAGTCTGCTTTCCCCCTATCCCTGCAAAATAATACAGTATTCAATTTACTTTTTTTTCATAATTGAAATTAACATTTTCTTTTTCTTTTTAGACAAACACAAGCGCGCGCACACACACACACCCTGTAATAAAATGCAAGTTTGTCTATGCATACCTACCCCCCCCCCCCCCCCCTTTTCTTTTAGACTGACATTTTCTTCATTTTTTGTCTGTAGCCATAATTCACTGATATAGCAGATTAAGGCTTTCTTTTGCAGTTGCTTAAATTAATCATTAGTTAAAATAAAGAAAATACATTTTGCACTAAAAGAACATACTTGTAGCCACCAAAAATCCTAAACTGTGTCAACATAAAAAAAAAAAATCATTTAAATTTAAAAAATCGATTTTTAAAATTTTTATTTTAAGAAAAAATAAATAAATCACCAACCCTGCCAGTCACCCCAGGAAGACAACTCATGTTCCCACATATATGGCGAAATTGGAGGGACACAGTCTGTTTTTTTTTTTTTTTTTAGTAGAGTGTTTTACAGCACTCATAACTAGGTCATGTGAGCGCCAAGGGGTGGATGTTAACAGAGAAGTCTTTACAGGGAATCAGACTTACTCTGCTCACCTCTCTAACTTCAACAGCACAAGGTCTGCTTCGACTATCAAGGCACCCCGGAAATAGCGGGTCACAAGAGAGTGACAAACATACAAAAGAAGTAGAGGAAAATGACAATAGTAAGGATTAGGAAAGAAAAAGCAGCAGTTCCCTGTTGTAGATCAGGCACAGTTATGAGCTTGACATTGTTGAATCAGCCCATTTACAATTCTACTGTGCTTGAACGAGAAATATCCCCCCTTTGGGAATGGCCTAAAGACACTACAGTCAGTGGCACTGCCCCGGGGGGTGGACACAGTCATCTTTGTGTCCCGTATGAATTTCTCAGTGTATGTGTTTTGAATATATAGGTATTATTATATTCACGTATAACAAAAAATAAGGAACCCGAAAATCTATCTGTTACGCAAGTGTTTTGCCTTCATCTACATGTCCCATGTGCGTGCTAAATGGTATATTAACTCTCGTGAACACGTTTGTAGAGCCAAGAAGTAAAATAAAAAACATGAAAGAGAGGTAACGCTTCAAGGTAGAAGGAAAAAATAGTGTATTCATTTTTTTTCTTTTCATTTCTTTCAAAAAAACGGAGTACCGGTACGGTACAGGTTTCTTGAATCAATCAAGCTTAACTGGTATCACAACAAGATGAACTGCCCACAGAAAAAGAACAGACATTTCCCAAACACATTCACGACGTCATTGCAAATTTACAAAAATCAACAAAAGAAATTGCACTAGGTGGTGGGTCTGTATCAGCTGTCCGCTGACTTTGCGTCTGCTTCCTTGTGAGTGACCACGCCCCGCTGGATCAGGTCGGGGATTTCCACTGCTAGCCACGGGCCCAGCTGAGGAGAAAGGAATAATAATAATAATGATGATAATAATAACAATAATAATAATAATAACAATGATGATTACAATGATGATAATAATAATAATAATGATCATAAAAATAGCAATAATAATAACAATAACAATGACAATAATAAAAATAGTAATAATACTGATAATAATGAATGATAATTATTATATTAATAACAGTGATCATGATATAATAATAAGACGTAATAAATATATTATATAGGGCCTCATTCCTTGCAGGCCGCAAGAGCTGTACAATGCAGAACTATCACTCAACGGATGAATCAAACGATAGAAAAAAAAATAAAAAAATTGTGAGAACTTTTAACAACATAAGCACACTCACACACAATCTAACTTCCCCCCCAATGTGTCCCTTGTGTGACTATACATATGAGACTGTGGATCATCACCTGTTCCACTGCACAGCCCCAAATGACATCAGAGCTACCCTTCTCCCTCCGAGACCTAACATTGACAACACACTCTATGGAACATTACAGCAACTGCAGCAAACCTGCACTTATCACTACATGGCATTGGACAGAAGGGCGAGAGCCCAGATGTTGCTGGATCAATAATAACAACAACAACAACAACAACACAAACAATCTCAATCACACACACACACACACACACTCACAACTTCCAGACTGACAAAAATTATCACACACAAACTGTACAGGGACAGTTATTTTGTATTAAAAATTTCTCCTCAATTGGAAATCAAACTGTGGTATCCTGCATACGACCTAACCACAGTGCCACAGACACAGGAGGAAATGACATGGATTGGGAACATTATTGTGTCTTCAGACTTTTCTTCAACCCTCTCCACCTGTCTGATGCTATCCTACACGCATTTCTTTTGGGAGGGAATTCCAAATCTTAGAGGCAGAGGAGGAGGAGGAAGGAAAGGTTCTTCCCACTTCTTCCCAACTTATTAAACTTTAACTCCTTATCTCCGGCAAGCTGCTCCCAGCGGCTCACTGTCGGAACCGCTGTGCCGGTAAGCTGCCGGCAGAGGTTTGAGCACATTCCTTTACCATGATAACCACCACTTTGACGTCAAATCAGTTTTCGGCAATTGCTGAAAACGGGTCTTCCTTACCAGGACTCCATTCATTAGCAGAAGAACTATTGAAAAATACGTACACTCGTTTTGATTTAATTACCAACTTAGTGACATATAAATGTCATTTTTAGTTTATAGACTTTGCACCAAAAGAAGGGCCCTGCATAATGCGATTACCCCCCCCCCCACTCTGAGAAAATGAGTAAAGAGTTTACTACAGTACACTGACATGTTAAACCCCGTGGGCTGCACACTACATCATGGCAGGAACATACACAGCCTTTTATGCGACTAAAAAACAAAACCAAAAAAACCCCCAAACAAAAACCCTTCCCCAACTATCCCGGGCAACAATCCTCCGGGTTTTGAGCTCTCAATCAGGGCTGCTGCCAGTTTGGCCCCTGAGGCCAAATTGCTCAAATTTGGCTCTTTAGGATCATGACTGGCCCCCCAAATAATAGTTGGCCCGAATTTGGCCCATTTTAAATTTGACCCCCCCCCCCCCCCCCCCCCCAAAAAAAAAAAATTTTTTTTTTAAAATAATAAAAAAATACAAGCAACGAGGAAGCCTGGCATGACCACCAACAGTGACAGGGTAAACAGTAGCGTGCAATTCGTGCAATGATGACGGAAAAAGATGAGGTACCGTACCGTAATCATGCTTACTGATTTGTCAATGTTATTTAATTTGGTTGAATATTTATTTTCTTCACAAAGATTGGACCCAAATTGTGATATTGTTGGCCTCACACCAGAAAAAAAACAAACTGGCAGCCCTGCTCTCAGTGAGGATAAAAAACAGACACCAAGGGACGGAAATGGCGTCTGTGGTGTAGCCGTTACGTGCTTCGATGTCGCACGCAGGAGACCCCAGTTTGATTCCCAAGTGGGGAGGATTTATTCTTTATCGAGTGTCTGTCTTTCTGCTGCGAGGTTGTACCCGTCTCAGCTGGGGTTGGCCATGACTGGCTGGATCGGAAACCTAATTCTAAAATTTTCTAGATAGTATTTTTAGAATTAGAGGATCATTTCCCTTGTACTAGGGATTCAGGGAATGTATCAGAATAGCTCCCTTCTCTCTCTCTCTCTTCTGGCACTGTGGGGTCATAAGTGGTCAGCGATGCCGACAGCACGCAGAAACTCAATACTCTCCGGGGGGTCCTTGAAAAGTGCTGAACGTGGGTCGCTGTAAATAGGTCCCGTAGGGGAGTAAAAGGTCAATCAAGATCTAGTGGGGAAATAGGCTGTGCCAAACGTGGTGGGCACAATAGCCTACTCACTCACTTCTGAGTCTACACCAAACAGGGGAACGAAGAAACTTTTACTTACCCCGAGAGCCATGGCGTGGGCTATGCCAAATCTGGGCACATTTCTGGCCCACAGAGGCTTGAAGTGATCGGTCAGGCAGATTTTCCCGCCCCTGTGGGAGGAAGGAGAGAAAATAACGTCACGCGCTGTTGCAGTCCTTTATTAGTCGACATTGTTCAATACAGCCAATAGATAAACTAAATCGTCGTTAGGTGAAATTACCATTGTCCAGTCCTTTATTAGTCGACATTGTTCAATACAGCCAATAGATAAACTAAATCGTCGTTAGGTGCCATTACCATTGCCCAGAGTCCAGAGAAAATCCGAATTGGAAAGTGGGTGGTTGGAAGGTGCAATTGGTAGATACTGTTTCCTCTCTCTCCCCCTGTCATTTCTGTCTATTCGCCAGACTTTTTCCCGGCACTTAACGACCACTTGTGTGTTGAGGTGTATCTTTTACTCTAACAAATAAACGGTAAAGGAAATTTTGGCTTTTTTGTTGTAATTTGTAATATATTATACTTGCTTGTTTTTCTTAAAGTTTTTTAAAATGCCGGATGTATGGTTAAAGTCGAAAAGTTCAGTGTCAGCTGTAATCTGATAATGTTGTGGTTTAATTTCTCAACAGCAATTTTGTCACTCAGCTCTTGTTGGCCAGAACAACACGCTCCGTGTTATTTCCATTCACCCCTTCCACCAAAACGACACAGAACAAATGCAAGTTTCACCTTCGCTAATCAAATACACATTTCCCTCAAGTCCTCCAAATCCATGTTCATAAAATAGGTCAGTTTAAAAATAGACATGATGATACTTCCTTTCTTTGTGCGAATTCAACACTTGAAGGTGTACTTTTTGAGTGACAGCACGTTGTATCACTGAAAATGTTGGATCCACAATCTAAGTCATTTTCCAAATCAAGATTGTTCATCAAAATCCCTCTACAATACACCTACTTTCTCTGCATTCAGTCTCACTGTTCTCTTCTCCAATGGGGTCGATGGTTTACTTTTTTTTGGCAAGGTGAATGAGGTAGCCTAGAGATCCTGATCCAAAATAGTCGGTGATACAAAAACTTACCAAAATTTTTAATAACAGAGTCAGATTTACTTCTGGCTGTTCATAAAAAGCCACAAAATTATTTATGGCATATGAGGGATTCATTCGACAGTTTCGCTTCCACAGCTGGACGTGAGCCCCACTCACCTGTACATCTTGGCCGTCTTCCCGTCCAGTTCTGGCAGAGCGATCTCTGGCGCTGTCGTCGGGTACGTCACTGGAATCTGGCACACAGGGGAAACAACAAATAATGAAATCTGAGAAATCGGCATTTTTTTTACCAGTTTAGAAATTTTTAATTAATTTTTTTTTTTGGCTCAACGCCTCATATGCACATTCAGAAACACTTTTGTGAGTGAATTTTATGGAAAAACATGGACTTAAGGCACAAAAAATGTAAATTTGCAGTTTCCAAGGACTCTTATAATTATGCTATGGAAATCATAAATTTTTGGCGGCCATTTTCTCAGTAATTTTACTTCTGAAATCAAGCGACCCCCACCTCCTTCAATTACAAATATCTCAACTTCTATTGGAAATAAATGGATATTTTTTAATTGAAAGCAAGGCAAATGAACAACCTTTAAGATAGTGAAATAACATATAGTGGACAGAAAACATATGAAGGATGGAGACTTGATGCATTCCCAGACCTGCCAACCATGCCATAACCAAAAAATGAGAACTTTCCTCAGAATCTTCCCTAAAAGGAGGAGTAAAACACACATCCTACATATGAAAGAAAAAAGCTATGGAAACTGATGTTTGCTTTAGCATCGCCAAGATGACGATAGACAGGACTACCCGGTACTCCTGCCGTTTTATCTCCTTTATGTAAGCCTTGCCAGTATTTCGGAGACCCTGGACGTAATAGCCAAACGGATACACTAAATGACACAATCTCTGTAACACTCTTACGATATATATATATATATATTGATAAATGAGCAAATAGACAAACTGGGGAGAGGAGAAAACTCACTGTGTTCTGACTAGTATGACTACAAGTGACAATGTCTGTTGCACACTTTACAATGATCTTGAAGCCTAATTCTAAGTTATTATTTCAACTCATGACTTCACAAAAATTCATAAAGTAATCTACATAAGCTAAATAAAGAAAACTTGTTAGCGCAGACGGATGATCCACCAATCTTTAAAAACCATTCAAGAAGTACTCACATCAAACTCGACGTCGAATTCATACTTGAGCAGCTCGTGTATGTACCAGCACTTGCCGAACCAACGAGTCCCTTCCTTGTTGGACTCCAGGCGGAACCAATCATTGTCGCTCTCTTTGTTGTTTTGCACATACTGGGGAAAAACAGATGACATTTAAAAAGGTTGAAAAAAGCGTGATAGACAAAATTTTAAAAAATTTAAATCAACTTGATTTTAAAAATAAAACTCAGTGATTTAAATCACTTTTTTTAAAAATGTATTCAGTTTTTACATATTTAAACATTCAGAATTCCTTTCCTTAGTTTTATAAAACTATATAATGTTTAGTAGACTAATATAATCATGCTTAAAAGTCTGCTTTCCCCCCTGTCACTGTAAAATAATACAGTTCTCAATTTACTTTTTTTTCATAATTGAAAACCAGGGCTGGGTTGATTTAAATCAGGTCGATTAAATCAGTTGATTTTTTAAACATTTAAATCAACTTGATTTTAAAAATAAAACTCAGTGATTTAAATCACTTTTAAAAAATGTATTCTTTTTTTACATTTAAACATTTGGAATTCCTTTCCTTGGTTTTATAAAACAGATATAAGGTTTAATAGACTAAAATAATCATGCTTAAGTCTGCTTTCCCCCCTGTCACTGTAAAATAATACAGTTCTCAATTTACTTTTTTTTCATAATTGAAAACCAGGGCTGGGTTGATTTAAATCAGGTCGATTAAATCAGTTGATTTTTTAAACATTTAAATCAACTTGATTTTAAAAATAAAACTCAGTGATTTAAATCACTTTTAAAAAATGTATTCTTTTTTTACATTTAAACATTTGGAATTCCTTTCCTTGGTTTTATAAAACAGATATAAGGTTTAATAGACTAAAATAATCATGCTTAAGTCTGCTTTCCCCCCTGTCACTGTAAGTAGTAAAATAATACAGTATTCAATTTACTTTTTTTTCATAATTGAAATTAGCATTTTCTTTTTCTTTTTAGACAAACACAAGCCGCACACACCCACACACTGTAATAAAATGCAAGTTTATCTATGCATAATTACCCCCCCCCCTTTCTTTTAGACTCACATTTCCTTCATTTTTTGTCTGTAGCCATAATTCACTGATATAGTAGATTAAGGCTTTCTAAAATTGCAGTTGCTTAAATTAATCATTAGTTAAAATAAAGACAATACATTTTGCACTAAAAGAACATACTTTTAGCCACCAAAAATCCCAAACTGTGTTGACATTTTTAAAAAAATCAAAAAAATCTGATTTAAATTTAAAAAATTATAATTTAAATTTAGAAAATCGATTTTTAAAATTTTTATTTTTAAAAAAATCACCAACCCTGGGCCTATTCATCATTTGTTTGCTGAATTTGTTTTATCAAGAGCTTCATTGCCTTCCTACCCCTAATGGCATAAAAACTCCTGAATTTTTTTGTCTAATCTTAATTTAATATAATGCCAAACTCATAAATTGGGGGATAGGAGCTTGGAATTGGGGTTCGGGAGGGAAGAAAGGTCGGGGTGCAGAATGGTAGAGATGTTTCCATGACACCCACATTTTTTAATACTTCTTCATAAGTTCTATAGGCCCAAATACGCTTTGATTCCGTCCAAAAAAATATCTCGTAAAGTGCGGAAGAAGAAATAACGTTTGTTTTAAAGCCTATCTATCTTTATCTATTTAATAATAAATTTATTAAATTTGTAGATCTAGTTGTAGACAGTACGCTGTATTACTGCTTTCTAGTATTCAAGATATTATAGTACACCACGGCGCCCGTGTAAAAAAACCAAAAAAAAACCAAGGGCCAAGCCTCGCCTCTTGCGCATGAGAGAGAAAACATGCTTAGCCCGTTGCTTTAGCATGAAAGCCTTCACACAACTTGCCACAAAAAACGTGGCGGACGCAGCTGTCGAATGTGGCCATCACGCAGCAAGTCGAGAGAGGGGCGTACTGTATCTAGTGCCTGTAGTGTACATCTATGTATCACACACAGAATTTAATTTTTTTTTCTCGATGTCATTCTATCTGTCATCCCGTCATGTGATCACAATCTCTCTTTTCTATTATTTAATTTTTCCCATTCTCCTTCGTCCCTTCCCAAGGCCCTCCCCACCTCTTTCTTCCCAGCCCCATCCCCTCTTCCTTGCGTGCATTCCCACACCCAACACACCCCCACAATGTGACCCAGCCCAGCCTATAAGATTCTATAAAAAGAAACACTGCAGTTCGCGAGTTTAAGTTTAGACCACAGTCGGCGGCCATATTTACTCCACTCCCCTCCTCGGCCTGCTGTGAAGAGAGAGAGAGGAGGCTCCATTTGTTTTAAGCTCCTTGATCCAGCCCTTGAGTGAAAAGCAGTATCTAAATAAGGAAGGACATCTGTAACGAGCGACCACCCCATCAAACACAATAAAGAAGAGGCCTAGATCTAGACCTAACCCTAACCCTACCCCTATCTCAAGCCCTCAATTCTGCTCTGTCTCATAGTGGTCGCTCGTTACGGAAGTCCTCCCCTAAATAAAACTGTTAGCAATTTACAACAGGTTTGAATTTTTGGTTTGTCCTACCTACCCTACAGCCTACTGCGGTGATCTTATACTTTAGCACGTTAAATTCCCAAAGTCTACTAGATCTAATCCCCGACTCAGATCTTCAAAACTTTGAACTGGGCCTTAAAATGCGCAAACTACCGTAATTTTGTCATGGACAGATTGGTATACCATTGGTTTTTAGTCTTCTTGATCTAGAAATCTAGATCTACATATGATTTTGGAAGCCATTGATGAGTATAATCTAGATCTAGAGTCTAGATCTAGATTTAAAAGAGGTCGATCGTTACGGAAGTCATCAATTGACGAATTTAACGTGCCAAAGTTAAAGTATAAGATCACCCCTACTGACTACTGCTAGCCTAGTCTAGTCTGCTTATTATACACAAATATTATTCAGTCTACACGGCACGGTGGACTCGCTCAAAACACCACAATATGGTCGACTATCAAATCACTAATAACTGTCAAACATAACTAAAAAGCGTACTTGAATCAATGCTTGATATTCTTCTTTCAATCTGGGGATCCATAGCTCCCCATCTCGAGGACCAGCTTTTGTTTTGAGTAATGGAATTTTCGCAAGAGTTTTCTTCGTCGCTTCGTCAACCATCTTGAAATGTTACAACTTCCGACTTCCGATTCCGAATTTGTTCCAAAAAAACGCCAAAAAGTTAACCGGGATGAAATCACGAAAGACGATTCCCTTTATTCTCGAAACAATTCAAAATTGAAAATTAGCGCTGCGGTTAGCTTCACATTGACGTCGGAGGGGGGGGGGTGTTGGGGCGACCAAAAACCCCACTAGATCTAGCATAATTAGTTCTATATTGTTTTCTGTTGTTAAATGGTTCATAAAGAGTCAAACTTTTTTTTTTTAATATAAGAATGTCAAAATTTAAAAATGAGCCAGGCACAGACTGGTGCACAGACCGTATTTATAAAATCATTGGACTGGTGTTCGAGAAAATCTATTTATAGAAGCACGTCATAAACCAGGAATTCCCGTTCGAATTTGCTAGGGAAATTACATCGAAGCATCGAAAGTCGTAAGTGGATCCATATCCTTCCTTTGTCCTGTCCATCCCAGTTCCAGATTGTTTAAAACAAGAAGACGCTACTCACAAACGACATTTACAGACTGTTCTACAGGTTTTCAAGAAACATAGATCTAGATCTAGATCTAGATCTCTAGATTTGGACTCTGGAAGTCAAAGACTGATTCACCGTTCGAAACTGTGCCCAGCTGACAGGTGAGAAAATATTGTTTGACGAGATTTTAGAATTCGATTCTCAAGATCTAGATTCTAGATCTAGATCTAGATCTAGATCTAGATCTATATCTATATCTAAATCTAGATCTATCTAGACTAGGTCTTGCCGTTTAAGTCAAATTAAGTGTTTAACTTTAAGCCTAAAAATAATTTCAGAAATCCTTTCAAAGCCTCCACACCTTCTCTCCCTAGATCTACCTATCAAACACTAAATAGAAAAAAACAAACAATTACAATTGAAAGAAGGCCTACACTACACATTGTTCTTAGATCAAAAGCTTCAAATAGACCAATTATGTCCTTTGGTCCTAGGGTGTGACTCAGCGCTGACCCGGGGCCGGGGAACCGTCTTGTGCAATAAAAGTTTATCTAAACTAAACGGAAGCTTATACCCCTATGCTATGTCTCCAGGCTTACAAAACTGGTGTATGTACAACAAATGTTTAAAATTCTTATTTGGCTTTGAGGCTATCATTGTAGTCTTAAAGTTAAAGACTTGAAATTGGCATCCCCTATAAGTATACAAGTGCTGCTAGGCACAATTACCGATTCTTTGAAGGTGACTTTTACTTTTTTTAAGGAGATTTTGTGAAATAGACATTAAAAGGTTGGAATATTGACATGAAATTGAAAGCTCGAACTCTAGTACTGAACAGATGACAAAGCAAATTGACAAAGAACGAGAAGCCTTTACATAAATAAATAATAATAAATGAATAATAAATTACACTTTTATTTGCCCCGGAAGGGCACTTTAGTTTGGTTTACAATGGCAAACATACATCATAAATTATGAATACGTACATACATACAAAAATGCATCAGGCATAAATACATACATAATAAATACACAATATTACACAAATACAGAACAGTTTACAACCATGCCACTGCCAGTCGCCACTGTGCA